TCCTCTCCTCCCAGAGGATCCAGTTTGGAACACCTGGTTCATGGGTATTTGGGGAGTTTCTTCCTCCAGGTAGGGAGCATGTCCACACTGGGGTAACTCATCAAGGCCCCTCACTGGCTTTCCTCATCCCACCTCACCTTCCCATGTTCCCACACGGGCTTCCTGGGATCATCTGCAGCAAACGACTCGTTCCCGAGTTCTTGTCTGCTCTCGGGGACCCAAACTCCACTAAGGTTCCAAACTGGCTGGTGACCTCAGCAGTTGCCTGGACCTTGTGGACTTGAGTGTCCTCCCCTGTAAAACGGGGACAAAGGCCTGCCTCCAGAGCCATGAAAGGACACACAGCATGTGAAGATGCGAAGTGCTGAACAGTCAAAAGCAAATTGACTGCAACATAAGACGTGAACTGGGTGAGGAGGCAGGACCTTGTGTGGCCAGGTAGGGTGCAGGCAGCCTGTCCCAGTGCCGGGGAGAGCTGCAGACCAGGGAGACCGGCAGGGTCAGGCCACTGAACAGTTGAAGGTGAGTAAATCAGCAAAAAGATAACATAGGAGCCAGCCCGTGGCTCACTTGGGAGAGTGCGGTGCTGACAACACCAAGGCCACAGGTTTGGATCCCATGTAGGGATGGCCAGTTAAGTCACTTGGGTGAGCGTGGTGCTGACAACACCAAGTCAAGGGTTGAGATCCCCTTACCGGTCATCTTTAAAAAAAAAAAAAAGAAAAAGAAAACATGATGGATTTCCAAAGAGAATCATTTAAGTATTCAAGAATTAAAGAGACATTAGGAAAATTAATGAGGCCCTAGAAGGATTTTTACTGAAATGCCATAATTTGGTAATAAAAACTGTATCACAAATTCCCAATCGACACTGGATATATTCTTTGTTAGTTCTAGGAATCAGAGTATACTTACAGTTAATACCCACATTTTGTTAAATATAAGATGACTTAGTTTTCATATCTTTATTTCATTTTTCAAGTTGAAGTATCAAGCAGCCTTTTCTCTGTTATTTCTCTCAAATACCGACCTCTTTTAATAAAGTGGCTGATCCCTGCTACCCCAGTGGACTCCCCTTTTCACATCACACGGTGGACGTGAGCTCCATGGGGCAGGAACCACGTTGGGTCAGGCTCACTGAGGAAGCTGCAGTGCTGGGCAAACAGCAGGACCCGTGAACATTTGCTCAAAGAATGAATGAATGAGAGAATGAGTGAATGAATCCACAAAAGCCACAGTCCTCACAAGATGAGCCTTTATGAGGGCTGGGGTCACAGATGTCACAGGGCATGCCCTGCACGGTGGGCACAGGGTGTGTCCACTTGTCCTTCCAGTGCTGAGTTCCCTTCACCTGCCACGTGCTGTCCTCCCAGGCCTTCCACATCTTCTCCTCCAGCACTGCTGGGTATTCCTGGGGAAGGGCACAGGAGGGGCCACCTGAGGAGGACTTCCCAGACCCTGAGCCCTGGAGGACACTGTTACCACCTGGCAGGTGGCTCTTTATGGGTGCCTGGCATAGGGAAAGAGCCACAAGTTGTTTCTCAGGAAATTCTCACAACAACCCATCAGTCAGGCCCGGATATTTCCCATTGAACCGATGGAGAAACTGAGGCTCTGAACCTTACCTGGGGTCACCAGCTAGAAAGAGGCTGGACGGGACAAGGATGCCTGTCTCTCTGACTTCGGACTCTGGATTCCTTCCCAACCACCATTACTCAATGAGCCCCTGGACCAAAGGTTCATGGGACTGCAGAGCCCAGAGGTCCTGCCTGTGGCATGTGTGTGCAGCCTTCTTGTCAGGCGGGCCCCACGGGGTGCCACAGGCTCTGGGTTCAAGTCCTGCCTCTGCCATCTGTAGGGCAGAGAGGAGGCACATTCCCTAAGCCTCGGTTTCCTCATCAGTGAAATGGGACAACCACCCCACCCTCTCATGGGAGTGTCAGGAGGTGTCCTGAGATACTCTCACAGAGGACAGAAGCCTGTCAGGTCCTCAGTACATTCAGCTGTGCCTGCTGATGGCACCCTCACTGCCAGTCCATGGCGGTCATTGCTCCAGACCTCTACTACCCTGTCCCCTCTGCTGGGGCCCCAACCCCGTCTCTCCTCCCCGCAGGTAAACAGCATCCACAGCTTCCAAAGGCTAACAGGTGGCATAGGGTTATTTTGGTGGTGATCAATGGAATATTCTGGAGGAGAGACTTGCTTTGCATGGGGACTTTGATAGATTTGGTATCAGGCCAATTCCCTCAGACTAACACATATAAATTCCCCCGGGCTTGGCGTTATCCTTCAGTCCTTCTGGAAGAGCTTAGAAATCCTTTAAGATAACCATCAAGGCCTTGAACATCTTAAACAAAACAAAACCCCTCCTGGACTCTGCACCTCTTCACATTCTCCATCTCCCACTCCCACACCATTGAGTCTGTGCACACGCAGGCTGGGTTCGGGGAGCGGGGAAGCCACACCCCAGAGTCAGCCACATCCAGGCCTTTGGCAAGTGCTTCCCTCTCCAGGGCTTCAGTTTCCTCATCTGTAAAGAGGGGCTGACAGCAGCAACTTTCTCCTAGATTGACAAGTCATGCATGTGCCTGGCCAGATGCTGCATATAGTAGAAGCACAGGAAGGGGCTGTCACCGTTATTAGTGTCATTATCTGTGCTTCTCCATTTCCAGCTAAGGCAGCGCATCCCCCTGGTGACAGGGCAGTCGGCCGCCAGGGTGGTCAGGGACCACAATCCAGTTTCTTTCCTGTGCCACAGACAACACTGCCTGCAATGTCACTGTGCAAAGCACTGTCTGCTTATTCTTCGTGAGCCCCATTCTTGGCACACAGGGGACATGCACTTAACATCTCTCATGACAATGACTGACAGCTACAGGGTTCACGGAACCAGCAGCCGAGAATGTGCCTCCAACTGGGACAGGAGGCCCATTCTTCTGACTCTCATTGTGGGGTACTCAGCTAGTAGCTGCTGGGCTCCCAGTGTGTGCAGGGGCGCCAAGTGCAATCACATTTCACTTGTCTCCATAACTCCAGGTGAGGGGGACTCCATTCCAGTTCACAGAGGAGGAAACTGAGGCTCGCATGATAACACCTTCCCAAGGTCACCGGGTCTCTCTGACCTCACAGCCCATGTCCCTAACCACGAGCTCCCACTGCCACAGCCAGGGCAACATTCCCGGATTCCTCCACGGGCTCCACATGCACCTGCTCCCCGTAAACCAGGGGATTCTCTCACTTCCTCCAGGGAGACCTGGTGAGGGTCCTCTCCCGAGGACACCCTTGCTCTGCTTGGGGGCTCCGGTCTGCAGTAGATGGGGTGGTGGTTGCACAGCACCGTGAATGCACGTAATTGTCCCTGAATTGTGGAAGTTTCAGTAACAGAAAAGTTAAATTTTATTAAAAACCAAGTTCCTGGTACAAATACAAACAACAATGGGCAACAGGAAAGGATGGGGGAAGGCCACCAGCGCAGGGACCGGGGCGGGCGTGGGGTCAGTGTGGCTCTGCGTGGCTGGGCTCCGGGTCCTCCAGCCGGGTCAGGAGGAGGTGGACGCGGCGCACCAGGGCCGAGTGGGGCACGTTCAGCAGCACGTAGGCCATCACCTGGTTTAGGCTGCTGAGGTCCGAGGGCTGGCAGAGATCCTCCGGGAAGAGGTCCAGCCAGCAGCCCAGGAAGGAGCAGATGGCGCTGGGGTGGGGCGGGCACAGAGTCAGAGGCCACCCCGGCCCACATGCCGCTGGACCCGGAGGGCTGAGAGGGAGGCCCAGGTGTGAGCCGGCCGCTCCCCACACCTCCTGTCCACGGCCCCCGATACAGGACAGGGGTGGGCAAGCCTGGCTGGGAAGGGACTGTGGGGATGGATTGTCACAGGGGCCGGCTCTGAGTCCCCAGCTTCCCCTCTGCTCCCCAGGATGCCCGGGACCCACCCCAGCTCTCTCCCTTCTTTCCTGCTGGGGGGATGCCCCGGACCTCAGCCCACTAGTGGGAACCCCCAGATGTGCGGGGCCGGGGTTCTGCCCAGCCCTCCCCAGCCACCGACCACAAACGTCCCCACTGTGGAGACAGGATCCCTCCCTCTTGTCCCTAAGCCCACTCACTTCTTCAGCTGGTCGTCCTCCTCACGGTCAGGGCAGAAGAATCCGTACCTAGAGGAGGTCAGGAGGGCGTCACGTCTAATGTCCTGTGTCCACTGCCTGCCAGGAGCGCTAGTGGGACTGGGTGATGCCTTGACTAGAACTGAAGCCCCAGAGTGTGGGGACTGTCTGCTCCCTTCACTGAATTACGCTAAGTGCCTGGAAAGTGCCTGCATAGAGTAGGCGCTTCATGTATGTTCGCTGAATGAATGGTCCGTAACCAGCTCCTTCCCAGGTCACTGAGTGGGCCTGGGGCCCCTCGGCCAGCCCCAGGGGTCCCTGCTCTGGCTACACCCAGGTCAGACAGGGACCCTCACATGGAACCTGGAACCTCCTCTACAAATGGGGAACCGCTGTGCCCGAGGCCACGTGTGAGTGACGCTGGAGGCAGAGAGCGTCTCCACGGGGACGGAAAATCAGGAGTAAGAAGCAGCAGCACCCGGGGCAGCAAGTCCCACAGGGCCGGGCGTGGGGGCTCTTTCCATGGCTCACCCACTGTCCTTACAACAGCCCTAGGAGGGGTCCTCTGAGCACCCCCATCTTCACATGAGCAAACTGAGGCTCACAGAGATGAAGTGGCATTCCCAGGTCCACAGCAGTGGGTGGCCGAGTCCCCACTGTGCTGCGGGGGGGACACTCACCTCTTGAACAGCAGGTCCAGCACCTGCCGGGTGGTGGCGAACCTCTTGTAGGTGCCGAGGAAGGCGGGGACGAAGAAGGGGTCCCCGCTCTGCAGGGAAGGCACCAGCTGATTCACCAGCTTCTCCAGGGTGCCGGCCGTGACGGTCCCCACCCTGCAGGTATCATCCAGGGCCTGGGCTGACTCATTTTCACTCTGGGTGGGACAAGGAAGAGCAGCTCACACATAATCATTAGTACAACGCAGAGTCCCTGTCACCAGAATGGAAGTGAGGAAAGGGACAGCACACGGTGTGTTCCTGGATGTTCCTACAGGTGTGTGAGAAGTGACCTTGCACCTGGCCAGGCTGGGGCCGGACATGGTGGTGGAGGAAGGGAGGAGGCCCGGACCCCTGGGATCAGGACTGTGGAGTGGGTCACCCCTGTCACCAGCTAGAGGCCGGCGGTGGCCTGGCCTGAGCTGCCCTGGCCTGGCTGCCCACGTTATCTTTTATTTGTTTTTTAAAGATGACCGGTGAGGGGATCTTAACCCTTTACTTGGTGTTCTCAGCACCACGCTCTCCCTAGTGAGCGAACCGGCCATCCGTACATGGGATCCAAACCCTTGACCTTGGTGTTATCAGCACCACATTCTCCCGAGTGAGCCACGGGCTGGCCCCCGTGTTACCTTTGGGTTCCTGCGGGCAAAAGGCCACCAGCGTCGGAGGTGAGGGCTGACCCAGTGCCTGAGGCGTTGGCACAGGCTCCTGCTCTGGGGTTTCCTGAGGCCTGAGCCTCGGCACATCGGGACACAACAGGAAAGCATGTGTCTCTCTCCAGTGACTCCGGCCAAGTGAGCTGGACTGTGGGTGCCTGACAACCAGGTTCCGAGTTCTGCTGGCCCTGACTGCGCCCCTCCCCCGCCATGTGCTGACCGCACACAGTTACAGCAGCACAACCGCCCTCGCCCCTGGCCAGGCCTAGGTGCGGCCAGCACCCCAGCTTTGAGGAGACAGAGCTGGGTTCAGACCTGGCTCCTCCTTCCCAGCTGTGTGACCCTGGATGGGTCACTGTGCCACTGAGGCCATCGCACCATCCACATCTACTCTGGGAACTGTTCCAGCACCTGCTTCCCAGGGATGTCATCAGGTGTAGAGACCTATAAGTATCTGTATCACCTGTGATCCTGGGGGCTGGGGCCACACGTAGCTAATGCACACACCCAGCAATGGGAGAACCACAGCAGGTGGCACAAGGAACCACCGGGTTCCACAGTCTTATCCGGGGAGTCACTTCCCCTTGTGGCCTCATTTCCTAGTCTGCAGCATGGGAAGTTGAAATGAACCCAAACTCAGAAATCGTCCCCTCTGGCCCAAACCTTGCAGTGGCTTCTTGTGATATTTAGATGGGGCCCAAGCGCCTCCTCTCTGCCTGTGTGGGGGCAGCAATCTCCACCTCCCGGTACCAAGGGGCTGTGTAATCCCATTCTGTTTCCTCGAGGCTGCCCTGGGGATGGCTCCAGCTGAGGCAGACGCTGGGAGTCTTGGGGACCCCCTGGCCATCAGCCTGGCATGTCTCCGCTCCTGTGCTGTGGGCCTCAGGCAGAACTCCTCCAACCTCTTCCTTCTTTCCCTCATCACCTGCCCAGTGTCCCGTCCTCCTCTGACCCCCTCCTGGGCTGTGTGAATGTGCCTTTGTGCCTGCACAAGAGTATGAATTGGACAGGAAAGGGTCCCACATGGGAAGCAATGTGCAGGGGTCCCCAGGATTATCAGGGCTCCCATTCCCAAAGCAAACCCCATGGGAGGGTTGAGCTGGCCTAGGAGGTGGGGACTCCTCTGGAATATGCTCACGTGTGATGCCGGCAAGTCCCCGTTGCTCTCAGGGGTTGGCTGTGGACCTGGGTGTAAATGTCGCTGGCCCCACCCTGCGTGGACATGACGGACGGTGCTCCGGGGCACACTCGGACTCTTCCTGTGGGCACACAGGGCCTGGCACCCACGGGTCTGTGCTGGACAGAGATGGAGCATGTCAGTCACCCACTTCACCACACTGGCACCCCGCACCACGGCCCCACACGTGGCCTGTCCTCCTGTCTCCCGTCCCCACTGCTTGGTGCCCCAGATTCACCCTCATGCCAGAGGGGTGCAGAGCACTGGCGGGTGGGCACGAAGAACTGCGGACACCAGAGCCATGAAATATATCCCCCAACCCAGTGTACTGGTCACCAGTTGCACCTGCAGGGGCCAGCTGGGTGCATGGCTGGGCTCAGGGGGATCTGAGGTGACAGTGGACACCTAGTCTGGGCAGAGAAAGGTCAGGTCACCCCCTCCCTTTTATATAAAATATAAATAAAGGTGCCGTCATGGGTGAGGGGAAGGGCAGCTGTGGGGATGGTGATGGGTGTGGCTCAGGAACTGGCACGGAGGGACCTGCCAGAGCTGGCTCTGGATCCGCAGCTGGTGATGGACCCCAGGTTGGGCTGGACTCCCTCTGCCCCAATGCAGAGCTGTCTCCAGCTGCACAGCAGCTGCCATGTCTGGTACTAGAGTGGCTCCAGCTTCACTGGTGGAGCCGGCTCCAGCAGGGAGCTGGGCCAGAGCCCACTGTAGCTCCCTGGGGGGGAAGGTGACCTGTGCTGGTGCTGGCCCCAGGGTTGCTTGTGGAATTGATTGTGCAGCTGGCTTGTGTCCAATTGATTGTGTCCAGGGGCACAGCTGCAGATGGTTGGCACTGCTTCCAACATGGCAGCACCTCTGGCTCTGTAGCTGGCTTTGGTTCTGTCACCGCATATGCAGATGGATCTGGCTCTTGGGAGTGTGCCGGAGCTGGGAGGCACAGCCGATGGCGGCACAGCCTGACGATGCAGTTAACAGAAGTGAATTACACAATTGGAAATGATTAAATGGTTAGATTTTATTTTACATAAATTTTAAAGCACAAAAGATAATAAACCATGAAGAATATAAAATTGAAAGACAAAATTAAGGAAAACGTTGCTATCACAGGGTGGGGCAGTGAAGCTCTGTTGCTGGCACTGTCACTGGCTGTGGCTCAGGAGCTGGTGCTGCAGGCAATACAGAACTGGCTCGAGCACTGGGACTGACGCGGGGGCTGCCATGCTCTGTCTGTGGAGGTGGTACAGGGGCTGGTGCCTGAGCTGGTGCTGGAGCTGAAGGGGGGCAAGGACTGGTGACAGAGCTGGCCTACTTCTGGAGCTGGCCCGAGTGTCCAAGCTGGAGGTGGACCTAGCTCTGGAGCTGGGGCAGGACCCCATGCTGGAGCTGGCTCTAGCTCTGGAGCTGGGGCAGGACGCCGTGCTGGAGCTGACTCTAGCTCTGGAGCTGGTGCAGGACCCCGTGCTGGAGGTGGCTCTAGCTCTGGAGCTGGGGCAGGACCCCATGCTGGAGCTGGCTCTAGCTCTGGAGCTGGGGCAGGACGCCGTGCTGGAGCTGACTCTAGCTCTGGAGCTGGTGCAGGACCCCGTGCTGGAGGTGGCTCTAGCTCTGGAGCTGGGGCAGGACCCCATGCTGGAGCTGGCTCTAGCTCTGGAGCTGGGGCAGGACGCCGTGCTGGAGCTGACTCTAGCTCTGGAGCTGGTGCAGGACCCCGTGCTGGAGGTGGCTCTAGCTCTGGAGCTGGGGCAGGACCCCATGCTGGAGCTGGCTCTAGCTCTGGAGCTGGGGCAGGACGCCGTGCTGGAGCTGACTCTAGCTCTGGAGCTGGTGCAGGACCCCGTGCTGGAGGTGACTCTAGCTCTGGAGCTGGTGCAAGACCCCGTGCTGGAGGTGGCTCTAGCTTTGCAGCCTCCCTGCCTCCACAGGCTGTGGTGAGATGCGGTCCCACCTGTTAGGCTGTGAGCATCGAGGGCAGATGGTGTCTGGGGTTTACTAAACCTCTGTATTCCAGGTGCCTGCCCACAACAGGGAGCAGCACCCGGGTGCTGGATGCATGAATGAATGAATGAATGAATGAATGTGTACATGAATGAATGAACTCACCCAAGGCTACTTTGTATCTCAGGCTTCTAATCTGTAAAATAGGAGCACCCACCTGGTAGGGCTGTTGGGGGGTTCACACTGATTCATTCATCTATTTATTCATTAAACACCAAGTACCTCCTGTGTGCCAGGTGCTGTGTAGAGGCTTGGGAAGACCGCAGTGAACAAGCACAGTCCCCGCTGTTCTGGAGCTGGCCTGAGCAGGGGTTAAATGAGGGAACACAGGTCTCAGGCATGTGGTCTGAGGTCATTGCAGAACTGCGCTTGGATGGGCAGGTCATGTACAAGTTCTTGTCCAGCAGCTCAGGACCAGCCCGGGTGGGGCCTGTGGTGGAAAGATGTGGGGTCCTTGGTCTCAACCCTTGTGCTACCTGAGATCCTGATGTGGCCATTCCCCTCACTGGTCCTCAGTTTTCCCATCTGTAAAATGGGCATGCGAGTAAATCCATACCTTGGTTCCTCCATGAAGTTGGCCTAGGTCCTGTGAGGCAGACAAAGGACTCTCTGTGCTCTGTCTTCCCACCGGTAACACCAGAAGGCTGGGGGTTGAGTTTACCGGGGGAATTGTGCTATGTCCCTCCCAGAGGCTATGATGACACAAGTATTAACTGGTCATATGACTTCTCAAGGTGCTCACAGCCTCAGCCTGACCTGAGGCACAGACCAGCGAGGTCAGCCCTGTCAGCTGTCAGGACCAACGAGAGAGCTTTCCAGATCGCTACATAAAGGGCGTCCTCCCCTCTTTCTTGCTTATTTTCTTCCCCATTTATGTATTGGCAAATGAGCTAAAGTACATAAAAGATGTAAAAGGTACAAACCACTCCTTGGTGCATAGAATCATTGGTAAATTAACACCACAGCCGTAGGTCCCAACGGCCATGCAGTCAGGGTGTTAATGTTTTCTGGCAGGCTTTTGTTTTCAATCCATCGATTCTTTTCTAAATAAATGGAGTCTCTCTCGTACCATAACAATCTAACATCCTTTGATGCCACCCCTCAAAGACAGTCACAGCCCCCACTTTTAAATGCAGCAAAAGTCCAAATGTCCCACTCCCTGTTCTGAGATTGTGGAGTCTGGGGTTTCCTTCCCTTTTTACTACCCCTGTCTGTACTTTTCAGCTTCCTGCATTGACTGTGTCTTGCATTACTTTCAAAATAAAGATAACTTTATCCTTCTTTTAAATTATAAAAGTATCATGTGCATATTGAAATAATTTTTTTCAGAAGGTACAGAAAGGAATACCAAAGAAAATGTACAGTTATCCCACTACCCAGACATATTGCTTTTAGAATGAGAATTTATTTTTAGGATTTAGAAAATAAACTGTTTTCTTCTTACTAAGGAAACCAAACCAAACCAAAATATCCTTCATTACTTATTAAACACTTGAAGCTTGGCAACTCCACCCCATTGCATTTTAGCGATAGGTTCTGGGTATGTGGTGGTCTTGCCAACTTAAGAATCTGATCCTTTTTGAGGGAGACAACATGTCACAGCTTCTTTGTTCTTGCACACGTAAGTTCAGGTCAGGGGTCCCCACCCTCGGGTGTCAGGAAATATCTGAGGGTTAAAGGGCATTTACTCTGCCTTGTCCTCCTGATCTCCTTCCAACTTCCCCCTGAGTGTTTGTGTGACTCGTATTATGGGAAACTGCCTGACAGAAAAATCTCATCTCATTTTCAGAGTGTTGGACTTTAGCAAAGTCCATCCTCACCTTTGAGCTGAAGGATGTCCTCCAATTTGTCCCTGTCTTCCTCACATTGTAGTACTTTCCCTAGGCCCTGGGGTCTAGGTCCATTTGGACCCACATGAGGTAAAGCAGGGTTTTCACCTCCCTTGTTCTAAGGCCTATACCTCTATTAATATGACCCACAATCCTTCATCCATTGATAAAAATTCCTCTTCTCAGGTTAGCAGCAGTGAAGATTCCTTAAGTCTGGGAGACTGGACTGGCCCCCATTGTGTGCTGTCTCTCCCCTCCTCACCCTCTCCCCTCATGTCCTGTCTTCCAGATGATGACCCCGACTGTGCAGTGTATAATCGTGACAGCAACTACCGCAGTGAGACAAGCAGTAGCATCCCGCCCCCCTATTCCACCACATCGCAGCCCAACGCCTCAGTCCATCAGTATTCCGTCCGTCCACCACCCCTGGGTTCCGGGAATCCTACAGTGATTCCATGCACAGTTATGAGGAGTTCTCTGAGCCACGAGCCCTCAGGTAGCTGCTGTGGAGTGTGTGTGGGTGGGGGTGGATGTCCTGCTCTGTCTCCTGGAGTGGAAAGAGGGGTGGGAGTCTAGAGGGAGCTGGAGGTGAAGGTAAGTAGATTAAGGACAGCAGAATCCACCCTTTCTTGTGGGCACTAGAGCCCTTCCTTTACCCAAAAGCTTGCAAGAAAATTCTATGAGCTTCATGAAAGGGGATCTGCTTTGGCTGAAGAAAGAGGGAAGTCTGGGCCCCTGAGATATTCCCCTGAGATACGGGGGCTCCTTGGCACTGTCTTTAAAACCCGCTGGTCCTGTGTACTCTCTAATTGGGTGGGGGAGGGGATGGGTGGAGGAAGAGATGAGGATTAATTGGGGGGAGGGATGAGGCACAGTGATGTTGGAAAGACTCCCAGTGAGCAGCTGGCTGGTGATCCTGGGGTGGCCCTGTCCGGCCCTCCTGGGTGCCCTGTGACCCCATGTTCCCACCTGCAGACACAGGCATAGTGACTTGGAAGCTGCCCCAGATTAGTCCAGCCACCATCACTACTCCCTTGAAATAAGGCTGTCCCTAGACCTGTCTGATAGGTGGCCCCCTGACCCATGTGGGTCATACCATTGCACAGTGCTGTGAGCCTGGGAGGCTGAAGCCCACAACGGTCACCCATCCTTGCTGACCTGATCACCCCAGCCCTGGTTTCTAAACAGAACAATGACAAACATGGTATTAAGCAGGTTAAATTTGTAAAGCCCTTAGGGTGGTGCCTGAAAGTGCCATGTTGCAACTGTTCAGTAAACAGATAGTACAAATAATAGTATTTGGAGCAATGTGCCCAGTGCTGATCCAGCACCTTCCCTGCATTATCGCATTTCATTCTCTGGGTCAGGAATATTATTGGTCCTGTTTGACAGGTGGAGAATCAAGGCACAGAGAGGTTAGGGAACTTGTCTGAGGTCACACAGCTGGTGAGTCATCACACGAACTAGCTTTTATGGTGACTGAGAGCCAAGCAGTGTCCTGGTATGATTTCTGGTCATGAGTCTTCTTCCAAAGTATTTGCCCCTTTAAAAGTACATTTCCTTTATCACAAAATGAACAGGAAGGAAATTTTCAGTACTCTCTACTCCCTTGGTGTCGAAACTATACTTTTGTTCATATGACACACACACAAAAATCTCTTTAAGATGTCAGTCTCAGTTCACACACACACAAGGGCCTCCCATCATTGCAAGACCCTGATATGTGGGACTTGAAAGTAAGCCCTATATCTTATGTCCAGCAGCAAGGTACTCACCTTAGGTGTAAAATGTAAGGGTTGCCAAAACACTCAGTCATTGAAATAAATAATATTTTAGTGCAATATTTTAAAAGATCCAAATGAATGAAAAAAAATCATGAAGAAAAAAAAATCACCAAAATGTACTCTTATAAGTGTTTATTGTAAATAAATTATATTTTAATAATTTAAAAAATCCACAATGAACAAAATATCAAAATTTTAGGTAAAAATCGGTTCTGACCCTGCACTTGCAGAATTCAGACTTACCCATCTCCCCCTAATCACAGTCCTGCTATTTCTACTCTGTAAGAAGAAATAATAACAACAGTTAATTAAGCACTTACTATATTCCAGGAATTCTAATGAGTCCCAACAAATGTACTTATTCCTTACACAAACCTATAACATGGGTCTTCACTTCCTCATCTCCCCATGGCATTGTAGATGAGGAAACTGAGGAACACAGAGAACAGGATGATACCCTTGACCAGAGAGGTTAAGTGACTTTCCAAGTTCACACAGCTAGCAAGTGGCTGAGCCAGAATTTGAATCCTATCAAGCAGTCTTCAGAGTTCACATCTACAGCCACTGACCCAAAAAAGGCATCTGGCAATCCACAAAGTTAGTCTCCCAAGGTCCTATAGGTGGACAAAGGTGATGTTCTCCCTGCATCCTGCAACAGGGACATCAGCCAAGGGGACTGCCCTGTTCTCTATGCTCCCAGCAGCATCTCCAGTAGTGGGTCCCTCAGAACCATGTGATGTTACTCCAGGTCCAAAACCTCAGGGGCAACGCCTAGTTATTAAACAAAGCCGCTCAGGCTCCTGAACTTCAGACCTTCTCTGAGCCTTGATGAGAAGGTTATAAAAACAAGTATTTGCATCATGGCTGAGATTTGCAAAAACCCTCTGGAATCATTTTATTTCTAGTGCAGTGAGAAAATAAATTATAAATGGTTCATCTTTTTATCATTGAGGTAAGCTGAGCTTTCAGAGTTGTGATATCCAACATGGTAGCTGCCTGTGGCTTTTTAAATTTAAATTTAAATTTTTTAAAACAAAATAAATAAAATTCCAGTCTCTATGTCCTTCTAGACACCATTCAAGTGTGCAAGAGCCATGTATGGCTAGTGGCTTTCATGTTGGAACAGTGCAGATACAAAACCTATTCATCTTTGTAGAAAGTTCTACCATTCAGCACTGTAGAGGGTTTAGGGTAAAACATAACTTGGAGAAAACCTTCCATCACAAGCTTCCAATGTAGACTTTAGCATCAAGGCATTTTGAATTATTTTTGCAAGTTATTGAACAATTTTATTTGGAATTTTTCTATATTTTGTATATACCATACAAAACATGTATACTTTGTAGATGGAAATTTTAGAAAGAACTTTTAAAAAACTTGAGCATCTACTCTAGCCTCTTTGTTTTTCAGGTCCAAAGAAATGAAGTGACATACTCAAGGTAAAACACTTGGTGGCAGAAGTGGGAGCAGAATCAACTTAATTGGATTCACTCTAGTGTTCTTCTCACAGATCCTGTGTGCTTGAGCCATCCTGTGCTCTTTTTTTTTGACTGGTAAGGAGAACGTAACCCTTGACTTGGTGTCGTCCACACCACACTCAGCCAGTGAGCACACCAGCCATCCCTATATAGGATCCGAACCCATGGCCTTGGTGCTACCAGTGCTGCACTCTCCCAAGTGAGCCACAGGGCCAGCCCCATCTTGTGCTCTTAAGCGGAAAACAGAACTAGATCTGTTTTCATTTGTATTTGTGACTTCCTTATTCAAACTCTTTTCAGAGGCACTTCTGTCTTCCTGACAGCTTCCCCTACCATTTCTGCAACCAATACAATCTTTAAAGCATCATTCATTTTCACACTAACACTGACTCAGACTTAAGTAATAATTGGAACAGTTTCAATTCACTGGAAACAGATGAAAGGAAAGTAAGATGTTAAATATTAATAAAAAATTAACTATTTGAGAAGAAGGATGTCTTCTCTCGGAGAAAAAGACCAAGACAGTGGTAGACCATAGCATCATCTGCAGAAGTGCTGGGAAGTGTGTTTGTGTGGGAACATTCTACTTAGAGAGGAAACTGATTCTCTGAGACTTTTCTTCCATGGGGGGCTGCACAGTGCTCCCCACCATCTCTGTGGATGTTCGCAAGGCTGGGAAGCACAGGGTGGTTGGTACTTATCTTACAGATGGAGAAACTGAGGCTCACAGGGTGGAAGCACATTGCCTGACTCTCAGAGTTAGGTGTACACCAAGCTGGTTTCCAATTGGGCTCCAGCCAGTGTGGTGGGCACAGCCTTGGCTCCCCATCTTGTGTGTGTGGCCACTTACCATCCTTTTCTGGCTCAGTTTTGTCTGTCTGTCCCTGGTGGAGTCTGTCTATTGTGAGAATTCCTGGAGGGGAATGGGGGAGTAGGAGGGAGGGGGTCCCCCACCCACCCTCAGGCCACAGACAAGCCACACATGAGTGAAGGAAGTTTTCCAGAAGGGGAAAAGGACGCAGAGGAAAAACCACCTGAGTTCCCCTGAGAGTGACTCAAGCCACCCTCCCAGCCACATAGGCCATGCTGCCTGGTGCTGGTCGATGCTGGGCTCTGAGAGAAGCGGGGAGACAGGGCTGGATGCAGACATCCCCATCTTACAGGTCAGGGCTTGGCTGGAGGGCATGACAGGGCTGGACATCCTAGTGGTGGACAAGGGCAGGGAGGGCTTCCTGGATGAGAGTTCATGGGACCCAACTCTTGAAGGATAAACAAGGCATCCGAGGAGGGGAAGAGAATTCCAGGCACAGGACGCAGTTTGGCTAAAGGCTAGAGTGGTGGATGGGGCCATATCATACAGAAGGCACTTGGGTGGCTAGCTCAAGGGTGTGGGAGCCAGGAAAAGTCTCTGAGTGGGCTCAGTGCTGTGTTGAGACCCCAAATTGGTCAAAGTCAGGGTGGGGCATCTTGGTGGCCACCAAGTCCAAAGCCAGACCTGGGGCCATTTATGTGGTTCCTGAGGTTGCAGGTGGGCATATTCAGGCCTGTGTTGGGGTCCCAGCTCTGGGCTGCCCCCGTCATCTGGGATCCCAGAATGTGCTGGACCTTAGGAGTATTCACCAGCAGAGGCTGCTCTGAGTCCTTTGCAGCCAAGTGATATCTGTAGCCCTCCCCATCCTGTCTCCTGCGGTCTACAAGGACCAGCACTAAAAAGCAACTAACAGGGCTGGCCCGTGACTCACTCGGGAGAGTGTGGTGCTGATAACACCAAAGCCACGGGTTCGGATCCTATATAGGGATGGCCGGTTAGCTCACTTGGGAGAGCGTGGTGCTGACAACAAGTCAGGGGTTAAGATCCCCTTACCTGTCATCTTCAAAAAAAAAAAAAAAGAGCTGAGCGTGCTATGTGGCATACGCTCAGCAGATGGTTGTTATTGTTTCTATTACTGCTGCTATTATTGTCCCTGCCTGGGAAGATTTCCCACCCTCCTCTTAGCCCAGCTGTTCCCGACCATGTCTCAGCACTTGGCTTAAGTCTCCTCTCTTCCCCAAAGCCTACTCTGACAGCCCTGGTTCTTCTCTGGTTTCCACCATCTGCCATGAGCACTTATGTGATTTGCTCTGTAGTACCATATTTTAAGTTTTAGTGACAAGCCACAGTATTTCATTCTTTTTTTTTTAAACC